GATCTTTTAGAAGGAACCAGGCATGGAGATCCCCAGATGTCCAATCCATGTCCTGGCAGCCCAGTCCAGCATCATCTGGAAAACTAAATAATTATTTATTTCAGTTTTGGTAGGATTATCCAAAAATCAGCCTATAAATCTATATAAAATTTCTGGCTGTTTGTTACTGCATCGTGGGAAAACAGATTTGAATTTCCTCCAATGTCTTATGTTGTGTCTGGGACAGTCTGACTTAAAATACAGGCTATGTGGCACAAATATATTTTACTTTGGGAGCCTTGGGGCACTCCAATTATATTTTCATTCAAACAAGCAGCGTGTTTGCCAGAAAATTGGGAAAGACATGCTCTGTCAAGGGCAATGGAGACTAATGTGCAACAAGAGGGATGTTTGAACCCCCAAGAGAGATAAGCACTCATTCATTCGCCAGTGCAATTGAAACTGAACAGTCATTAATAATTGTTAATGAATCTCTTGAATAGTACTGGCTTCCATAGCTAGAATTGTCATAAATAAAACAAAGTAATTGGGAACTGAAGTTCAAAAGTACAAGTGTTTTGAATGTTCTTTCTAACATTTATCATAACCCTGGCCACACAAAATTTGGTCTTCCCTGTATTTACTGTTGGAAAAATGTGAATACATATATTCCCACTGTGTCTATTCATCTAGCAAACTGCTTTTTAAAAATTAATTATATTAATAATGTTATAAATACATTAACCTTGCAAATATCATACAACAATCCACCTCCATCTTGTGAAACATTCTGATACGGCAAGGGGAGAACAATGCAGTAATTCCCATGTTGTAATCACCTCATTATCCAGTCTAATCTGTGCCTTCCTCGCTCCAAGTTTTTTCAGGGATCGCGGACGAGAGCCTGAGGCTTCCTGCTGTAGAGCATTTTCTGTTTTTGACTGAAAGGGGGAAATCATTTTTATTCTTTCAACATCACCATTTGCCAGCACCCGACAAATACCATGTATAAAAACTTGTTCAATGGCTTGCATAAACAACCAACTTTGGGAAATGCTATGAGAGAAGACTATAAAGTGCACCTCCAATTTCTAACCAGATATAGATTTCAATTTTTAATGCCTGTAAGCAACAGCATAATTAGCAGTAAAAATTTAGGTTGGAATCCTGATGCTGCCATGACAGCAAACATTACTTTTTCAAGCAGGCCATAGGAACAGCAAACACAGGGAACAGCAGCAAACCCAGTTTCAATTGGAAGATAAAGCTGTTCTTCCATTCCTATGCCACTTGAGAGCATGAAGAACAGCTTTATCCCATGATGATAATGATGATGATGATGATCCATTGGAACTTTTGCCACTAATACCATCTGCCTGTGACAAAACACTGGTGGGATCACAAGCTTGAAAATGTTACAGAAAATGAACACGTCAAACTACCCTGGGACTTCTGAATGCAGTCTGATAAGAGTTTTGGAGCATAATACTCCTGACCTCATGAACGAGGGGAAAAAAACAAAGTATGAATCGTCGATGTTGCAATCCCAGGCAACAGCAGAATTGACGAGAAGAAACTGGAAAAGCTACGATACAAGGATTTAAAGATCAAACTGCAAAGACTCTGGCACAAACCAATCAAGGTGATCCCAGTGGTGATCGGCACACTGGGTGCAGTGCCTAAAGACCTTGACCTGCACTTAAAACAATCGGCACTGACAAAATTACTATCTGTCAGCTGCAAAAGACCACCCTACACAGTGTCATATGTTCTGCAATTGATGGTGGTTGGTGATGGAAGAGTTAATGTGAGCATTAGTTTTAGGGGGGTTGGTAATCAGTATGTGGGAGTTCATGGGTGAAAGCAATTAGGGGTGGAGGTGTTCAGGAGATGGGTTGCAGCTGGGTGATGCTGGATTTAAGGAGTTAACCTTGAGACTGATCTTTGGGATAAAAGTATTGTATTTTGGTGGTGGATGCTGCTGGTTTTTCCCCAGGTCTGTTGGATTTTTCAGTATCCTGACCTGTCTCCTGTAATCTTGGAATCCTGGAACCTTGAACCTTTGGACTGGCTTTTGACCACGGTATAGACTCTTGATCCCTGGACTTTGTTTATTGAACTCTCAGCATTTGACCACTGGACTGGACCATTTTGACTACGGAGTTGTTTTTGCTTATTCTGTGGCTGGGTGCTATCTTTATGTTTTGGTCTATTAAAACAGTCAGCATGTTTTAATTAAACTATTTGATAAAACTGGGAGTTTGGTTCATCTCTACCTAAACAAGGTAGAGCCCTGGCAATGTGACACACAGATCTGCAGGTGTTATTTGCCAATACAACACATAGTCCTAGACACTTGTGTCTGATGTGTGATCGAATACAAAAGCCAGCATAGTGATCTTGTTTGCTGTGTACTAATCTTGTTGTGTATCAAATAATAACAATAATAAGTTTTATTTCTATTATTATTATTATTTCTTAGCCATCTCTCCTCAAGGTGGGTAAGAAACAAAGATGGTTTTTGATGAGCCTCCTCCCTTCACTGCATCACAAAAAAGCCATTGCACTGTTGTGACCAAACCACCTCTTCCACTGGTCAATGGAAACTTGACTTAAATTACTTAACTATTAAATATTACATTAACTATACCCTGTACTTCAGAGCTGTAAATCACAAGATTGTGCATCTCCAATGAGCCTGAAATTAAAAGCCTTAATCTGGCAATTTCCCATCAAACCTGATTAAGGACACACTAAAGAACCTAACACTCTGAAGGCATCAGATCCCATGTGATTCTGGAAGCCATGCAGTGTTAGTATTAGATGCTGGGTTGCAAAGAATAAAAGATGCTGTAGCTTACATTTCAGAGGAAGGCAATGACAAACCTCTGAGTATTACTAAGAAAAATGTATGAAATGCATAGGATTGCCATAAATTGACAGGTGACTGAAGGTGGGTGCACACAAAGTGGAATGGATTCTCACTTTTTAGTCCAAGACACTGGGCTTCCTTTTGTTTATACTAAAGTTACTCTGTTTATACTCAACGTTAGTGAGCACTGTGTCCAGACAGCTGTGCTATCCACTTTTCCTGAAAAGCAATCATGGTTTTACCTCAATAAGTTCATCATGTATTACCCTACGGAGATTACTTTTGACTTCAGCCCATTTTGGCTGAGACACCAGTTGTGACAGTAACAATGATGACAGAGGAAAAACTTTCAAGTTGACCCTTTCTGCCAGGCAGCATTCTGGATGAAGAATTTGTGTAGCATAGGATATTGTGGCATGACCTGAAGACAGGCAACTGGAGAGACCCTTTAGGATCCTACCACAGCTGCTTATTCCAAGTCAACATGTGACCTGGAGCGTACAGTCACAATTTCTCAATGTCCATAACTACAATGTGAATGTAGATTTTATATTTAGCATCTAACCTGCAGGGACCTGACCCTGGTAAAAATTAGTGATTAGCTTTCAATTCTAGAAGCAAGCAGGTCCTTGTAAATTTTAAACATGTACTTACAACCTTCAACATACGTTCAATAACGGACCAAACATCGAGCAGGGCGGCAACAATCGCAACAAGATACAGAAATGGCGGGCGCACGCATGGCTCGAGAAACGAGCAGTATTGAGTGAAACGATCTTGAGGGGTACCATGTGAGCCTTCCAAGGACATTTCCGCACCATTTTGAAATTCATGTGATGGCAAAAAAAGCCAAAGGGGTTTGGGCCTCTATAGCGTCTAGATCCCGGGAAGTCATGCTACCCATGCTCTATTCTGCCTTGGTTAGACCACACCTGGAATACTGTGTCCAATTCTGGGCACCACAATTGAAGAGAGATGATTGACAAGCTGGAATGTGTCCAGAGGAGGGCGATTAAAATGATCAAGGGTCTGGAGAACAAGCCCTATGAGGTGCGGCTTAAAGAGCTGGGCGTGTTTAGCCTGAAGAAGAGAAGGCTGAGAGGAGACATGATAGCCATGTATAAATATGTGAGAGGAAGTCATAGGGAGGAGGGAGCAAGCTTGTTTTCTGCTGCCCTGGAGACTAGGACGTGGAGCAATGGCTTCAAACTACAAGAAAGGAGATTCCACCTGAACATTGAGGAAGAACTTCCTGACTGTGAGAGCTGTTCAGCAGTGGAACTCTCTGCCCTGGAGTGTGGTGGAGGCTCCTTCTTTGAAGGCATTTAAGCAGAGGCTGGATGGCCATCTCTTGGGGGTGCTTTGAATGCGATTTTCCTGCTTCTTGGCAGGGATGGCCCACGAGGTCTCTTCCAACTCAATGATTCTAGGAAGGTCATCAGACAGGGAGAAACCATCTCCTTACTCTGTGTAGTCTTCCAAAATAATAGGCCCTCTACCACTTGAGCTCACTTTAGAAGGTTTGCATGTATTTACTCTCACCCGTGCTGCTTTCAGTTTCTCTCTCATGCGTTCTCTCACAGAAGTTTCAACAAAGCTTGATTCTAAGGTAGAGGGAGGTGGAGGCAAACCTACAAAAAGAAGATATTATTATTGTTATTACTACTGTTGTTATTTTGTAATAAAATTAATCCCACATTCTACTGAAGTTAGCAAAATAATTACAACACAACGAAGAAAGCATTTAAAATAAGGATTGCCACTGCTAAATCAAACTGCAACAAAGCAAATATCTGATCTACATAAAGGCAAAGTAGAAACATTTAAGAACATTACCCTCCTGGATCAGATCAAATCCAAAGACCTCAGCCCATCTGGTAAAGGATTTGCAAAGGTTGCTGACCAGCTGCATCTACACACTCACTTTTGTGACATACTAATGATAGCTATATCTAGCTCTTTGTCTCCGCTATGGGATATGTTTGTATGTGATTTCCAAAATGGCTCCCACTTTCACAGATCCCTGTAACTCCTGCCAATGACAG